CTAACCTACTGATTGGCTGACTGACTGATTGACTGACTGACTTTCTGATTGAGGGACGACTGACCGACTGAGTGACTGACTAACCCACTGATTGGCTGAGTGACTGATTGACTGACCGAGTGACTGACTGACTTTCTCATTGACAGACCGACTGAGAATTATTTTTTATTCTTTTGTGCCAATGGGTAACGACCTTACGGAAAGCGATTGACAAATATGTACACTTACCCGACACACTTGCACTGATTGACGGTGAGATACTTGCAGAATAGCTTAGAGACTGAGGCGCTTCGTCTGGTTGAAGCACTCACTACAAAACAAGTCCGTTATAGGGAGATATTTGTTTAAAAAAATCATGTAAGCTGGCCAAGATGGACGGACGTGAATGTGAATGTATTCGGTAAAGTTTTCTTTTTTCTCATATTACTTGAATGTCTTATTGGTTAATAATAATAATAATAATTGTAACAATAATAATAATTATTGTTATATTATTGTTTTATTGATAGCAAAGCTAATTATAAAATCCTATTTACAATTAATTTCGCTTTTAAAAAATGATTCAGTCAAAGCACTATTTACAATTCCTAATAAGTATAGGTAACTGTAGCATGATTTGTAGTGATATTTCCAAATTGTTATACGTAATTAATTAGAGACAATTTGGAAATATCACGAGTGGTATTTATGCCGAATATCACGTACAAATCATGCCATTATTTGTTTATACCACTACCCGCAAAGTTTTGTAATTTTCACATGTAGGTATTTCAAATTAAGCTGAAGTACCACTGCTCTAAGCCAATCAAATTGCAGAAATTTCTCCGGCAACTACTGCTAATAATAATAATAATAATATTATTATTATTAATAGTAATATAATAATAATAAGAATAATAATAAGAATGATGATAATATTAATAATGATAATAATAATAATGTCCTTTATTTACCCTCGGCAGTATTAGTGCTAGTGGGGCCGAGCAAATGCCTGAACCAAATAATTCAAATTGGACTTAACAGGGTTAAGAATCACAACTGGCCGGAGGCAAACTAGTTGGGTATTAACACGCATGACTCGGGACTACCGAGAACAAATCCAGCTAGCGCTCAGGGCGGGACCTGGTTTTCGTTTTTACTTTTTATGTTTCGTCCATCTGTACCACCTCTTCTATATAATGCCTGAATCAATTGCAAGCTTGAACTTAACGAGAGAAATCAACCAGCTTGTCTCACCTTCCATAATAGCCTTCAATCTAGAGTGAGAACCACATTCGTTCATATCTGGAAAAAATGGAAGTATGAGTACACAATTGTAAAGAGAAGGTTGAAGGACCAAACATAGCGCATGCGGTTATTTGAGTGACATTTTCAATCACGAAAAGGTCCACTGCAGCGCCATCGGTAATCACAAATTGTTGCGTTCGATGTCAGGAGAATGCAGCCTAATCCCATGCCTCGAGAAGCCTAAGCACGATTCAAAAGACACTGGATTTAGTGTCTGGGTCAGACGCGATTTTAGCTAATTTTTTCTCAGTTAGGACGCGTATATCCAGAAAACTAAAATAAAAACCATTGAATTTTGGCAATGACCCTCATGTATTAGTTAAAAATTTACGTGTCTCAAAAAAATTGGCCAATCTCGCTAAGGATATCGTTGCAATTATTTAAAAAACAAAAAAGAATTTGCAAGCTTGACATACCAACACAACTGGTTAAATATGGTAAAGCAAGGGTATATCCGACAGGACAAACACCAGTAGTAAACTGCCAGTCACTTGTGTTAGTTATTCCTGGTGTGGGTGGTCCGTCATACGAACAACCTTGTCCAACCACTGCACCACGATCCATCAAGATGGCGTATGAGCCGTTCATACTTAATGCAGCATAAGGCATTGCAAACTGCAGGGTGGTTTGATCGCTGTTGATTATGACAAACTGAGAGAGTGTGTCCACTTTATGAACTGTGTGCTCGCTGGGTAGAAGGACGAGTCTGATGAAGGATGAAGAACGGGGCTTTTTTATCTGTGTAAGAAAAGAAAGTTAAATAATAATTCTAGTTTCTTCCCTAAAAATAGGCCAACGAGCACACACTCCTTTTAATGTAATACCCACATTGCCACATTTCTCGCGTTATAAACAACTGCACCATATTCAGAAAAAATATTTAAGAACGGGTTTACACACTGGTGAAAATGATTAGAGAAAGGTAAAGAGACCAGAGAAAAACGAATGATAGAGATAATGAAGACATTTAGATTTAAACGTTCTATTGAGCTATGGGAAAGAAACACTTTGAAACATAAACAAAAAAGAGCAAGATATACGCATAATTGCAAAAAAGAGGTCGGCGTGGCATATGGTGAAGAAAAAAAAAACAACTTGCACATGATAAAAGGTTGGAGTAAAATTAGGCCCAATAGAAAAAGAAATAAAAAAAAAACACTCGAATTAGTCTTACCACCCTATCAAACTGTATGCTCCACCAAATAATGCCTGGTCCGCTGGTACTGGATGGAGTATGAGGTGTGCGACTTCCCAAAATAACGCGGGGGGTACTACCTAGGAAGCAAAATAGCATCCTGATCATCTGTTCAAACAATCTTTACCTTCGGGCGCCGATCGAAGGAAAAATCCTTGGTTCATTTACCACATACGCCATTTTCTGAGGGTTTGTCCCGGTCCGACTCTCATGAGTAGCTGTTCATTATCCATTCCTTGACACGGTAACTTTATAAATTTGACTTGATCTCATATCCCTTTTGACCTATATCGTGAGGTGTTAAATAAGTGCTGCCCCGAATAGTCTTCGCAGTTAAGTGCTTCCCAATAAGTCCAAGGATTAACATGGTTTACTTACTCATACCGACGAGAATTGTTAGGCATCGCCATTGACTTCCCAACCTAGTTAAGAAAGATAAGCGCGGATATCCGTAATTCTTTTTGTAAATGGGTCATCAGTATTGCGCAATTCTAACGGCTAAGTGTTCGTCTTTCGACAACACAGATAAACAATGAATAAAAAAATAGATGATAGTTAAATTATTAACGACAGTTTGAAACACAGAAAAAAGTTAAAACCAATGAATGGCAGATATAATTTGTCCGGACGTTTCGGTGAAGAAAACGCCACGCCATTATCAAGGAATGAGTACTAATTAAAAACTGACGGTATTTAAGCACTCCTCAACCCTTGCAGTAATTTGATATCTTAATTTGAAGCTCCTTCAAGTTTTAAAAGCGGCCAGCAATGGGAAGCACTGAGCCTAAGTGTCCGCAAATAGTAGTTAGCCTCTTTCAGTGCCGGAATGGGATTTATAAACAGAGAGTTGCCAGTACACGGGGTTAAATTGTCAATAAGTCCGAAGTTGAGCCGGTTCGCTAACGAGAGTTTCCGTTAAATGAACTTTGACTATAATCGGAATGAAAAAACGCATCTCACCCTGCCGAGTCAACTGCTTTGAAGCAGAACGACTGTTGTCCAACTTGATATTGGCTGGGATACCACGTGACATTACTGTAATAAATCCCTCCGTGGTGACGTGGAGAAGTGATTACCATTCCAGGTGGAGAAGAAGCCACAATCTCTACAATGCTGAAATATGTATATGGGTGAATCATTTTTCAAGTAACCAGTAAAGCGATAATTATATGCTCGATTTCAGCAACCCTTTTTATTTAGTGCTAATTTCTATATTCATTTAGTAAGTTCTTACTATTTTAAAAATATTTGCAGTACGCCCAGTCTTAGAACGCGTTAGTTTTCGCGTGGAGCATGTTTTAACGGAGGAAAAAGTAATTTTTACAAATCTGGTAATCTGTTCTGTCTGTTATTCACGTTACTGGCAGCTATATTGACAAGCTGTCAAATAGAGGGACTTAATTTACAACACAGTAAACTCAAAATCATTCACGGAATCGCTCCAAATACCACTTCTGAAGCTAAAGGAGTGAACGCCCAGTTACCGTAGGTAAGGTAAATTATACAATGTTTTTAGCATTGATCCATGTACAATATTTAGCGCTATACCGCTACAGATGAAGCAAACGGTAAATCCATTGCATTCAATGTAAAATCAGAATCGGTTACAAAAACAGATTGTGTGGGCCCCCGTTGAAAAAACTCACTGTTTCGAAACGTCTGCAAGTGTAACCTCAATGACAGCTCTGTACACTGAACCAATTTGTACTTCGGTGCATTCTCCATCGTTAGGTGTTAAGGGAGTAAACACAGGAACATTGTTACAAGAACCAGAATGGCTGCTTATTATGACAAGAAACTGTAGTCCCACAGCACTGAATGGAGTAACGCCGACGAAATTTGTAGTTCCTGCTGGGAAGTCCTCTAGCATCAGTGCTACAGCGTAAGTACCAGTCGTTCCATAGTTGCCGTTATACGTCAGCAAACATGTTTTCTGTTTAAAGACAGTTAAAAGGAGATGTGACACTAATCCCTGTAGCATATTGAAATTAAACTTTCTATTTTCGGATCCAAATTGACTTTCAGTTAGTTTTCATTATCCCGTTCAGTATTGAATCAAACAAGTGTTTAACTCTTAAAGAATCCCTTTTCGAATTTTATTATAATTACTAGTAAATACAGTCAACTTCCTCGTAAGCGACCACCCATGGTGCACGACAAAGTGGTCGCTTACAGGAGGTTGTCGTCTACAGAAAAATTTAGAAAATAAGCCCAAACTGATAAAACTGATTAACGTAATTACATAACGTTCTAACCTATATTACAAGCTGAAATTAGTCAAATAGACAACTGGCACAAAAATGTTTCACATCGAATAGCGCTTGGAACTGTTGAAACTTTGTACACAACATTTTAATAATAATAATAATACCTTTATTTGTATAGCGGTATATACAAAAGCTCTATATCGCTTTACAATCAAAAAAGAAAATAACTAACTAACAATAGCACTAAAACAAAAAGTCAATTGAAAGCGAGTCTAAAAAGATAAGTTTTCAATCTAGATTTAAAAACATCAACTGATCCACTTAATTTAATGTCTAAGGGAATATCATTCCATTGCTTTGGGGCAGCGACCGAAAAGGCCCTGTCCCCATAGCTCTTCAGGCGCACATTCGGTACTTCTAATAAATGTTTGCTAGCAGACCTAAGATTTCTTGTAGGGTTGTATGGGACTATAAGTTGACTTAAATACGGAGGCGCCAGATTATTGAGAGCTTTAAAAGTTAACAGTAATACTTTAAAGGTAATTCGCTGCTCCACAGGTAACCAGTGTAGCTCCTTAAGGACGGGGCGAATGTGCGCAGCCCTAGGTTGCCCAGCTACAAGGCGTGCAGCGCAGTTTTGAACGCGCTGGAGCTTCTGAATAATATACTCCGGTGACCCGAGGAGCAACGAGTTACAATTGTCCAGTCGACAAGTAACATAAGCATGGACAAGGGTCTTTGTGCTCTCAGAAGTCAGATACATTCTAATCTTAGCGATATTCCGAAGATGAAATAAAGCAGATTTACAAACGGAACTCACATGCTTATCCAGTGACAAGGTCTCATCAAAAACAACGATGGAACAGTCAACTTTTTTACCCACAGATCCTATTAGAGCCTCCTTTTTTTTGCGTAGACCACTATAATATCTGTCAGCACTGAACCGCCGAACTGAACTTTTGTGTCATTCGAGCAACGGTTTTCTTACATGTAAAACCATCCGTGATCGATCATGCCGCGCGGTCGCTTACCAGAATCAGAAAACAAAAGAATATGTCATATTTCTTCCCTTTAACAAAGTAGTCGCGGTCATTTAAGAAATTTAAGCAGTGGTCTCTTACCAGATAGAATTTGAAACAGCATTTGAATGAGAAACAATTAAACTGGTTATTTACAAAGTGGTCGCTTTCAGGAGGTGTTCGCTTACGAGAAGTGGTCGCTGTGAGACCAGTGAGAGAGTTGGCTGCACAAACACCAAGCTTACTTAAAGAGAGTTAGTCTCGACCTAAAGTAAAATATTCAGAAATGAATGCAGTAATGTCAGCTGTGATGTGCCTTAAGTAAATTTGACAATGAACAACAGGTAGAGTTGAAAAAGGGTCTTTTGAGAATATCGAGTGGAGGCTGACGCTGTTAACACGAGTCTCCAATTAATATACTAGCATTCGAAATTGGACTATTTCGGCTTCACTATAGTTTACCACAGCCCCCTCAGTTTTCCCTTGTATGTTTGTTCCGTCCTTCCTTTTACTAGGGCTAACGCTTAATAGGCTTTAAAAGTCATCTTATGCTCTAGAATTTTCACTTCCCATTCTAAAGAAAACCCAAACACAGAAATGACTAATTACCTCATCAAATGTGCCATAAGGAAAACTATCGTTGTTAAAGTAGGACTCGGAGTATTTTGCATAGCGGCATTTAACCACATCTCCGTCGGCGTCTTCTACAGGGATCCTTAGAGACTGACTGGGACAACCTTCAGACCACCGAACAATAGCCGGGCTTCTTGATACAGGAGACGAGTTAATTCTTCCACTATCTAACCGTCTGGTAAGGTTTACGGTCGTCGATACGAGCCAACTGCCACCATAGCGAGATAAAGATATCCAACAGCAACTATCGTAGCTGTTAACAAAAAATAAATAATTGCAGTGTGACATTTTGTTAGTAATTTTTTTAGCATTAACGCCGTTGTTTAATAACGTTCGTGTCGTAATTTTGTAAGTACAAACTTGCCTTACGATCCATTCGTCGTGGATCGATGAGAAGGTGTAAGTAAAGTTACTTTCACCCATTGACCAATCCTCGCTGCTACTGTAGTCTGTACAACGAAAATTAGTGCTTCCTATGATACCTGAATTGCACTGTGAGCTGTAGCCAGGATAGTTAACACACTCTGCTCTCCAGTAACCTCCTGGACCAAGAAAGCTACCGATGCTTATGGTATTTGAATCACAGTACAGGGCAGATCTTCGAAAAGCCAGGCCAAAAGTGAAACGAATCTAAAGGCAAAACAGTGAAGAGTAATTTAAATTACCAGGACAGCAAGGGGACACTCCAAGTGTCCGTATTAAGCGGGTTATCAGAAGAAAAAAAAAAAACGTCACGGAAACTGGTTTTATCGATCTAAGCGACATTTTTACGAGAAAACGTTGTTTAATTTCTCGGTAATGAACTGTAACAAGTTATTCGTATCATTTAACATAGTCTCAGAATAAAACTATCCCTTTTTTTTTCTTGAAATACAACAAAGGAATCTGGCGCTTTCAGTTTGCCACTCAGCCAGGTGGACTGAACATTAGGCAGAATCTTAGAAAGCAGCTAGGGGCGTAACTTGGGGGTAGTATGGCACTGATCTCAGTCAGAAGCATATGCTTCTGTTGCAGTTTATAGCACTAAGCACAATGGTTTGAACTACATTCGACTCGCGATAATTCGAACCTTCAAGGGAAACAGAAAAAAGTTCGAGTTATCGAGGGTAAAATTATATAGAAAATGTTCTGAAGGGAAATGAAACTTGCTTCGAGTTAGCGGGAGGTTCGAGTTATAGAGGGTTCGAGTTACCGGGAGTCGACTGCAACACCTTTCATTATTATTTCAAATTTTTCCATTTAGTTACTTTTAACGTTTAAAATGAAATCCACAGTAGGGTCCGCTATACTGGGTTTACATCTTTTCTGCCATGATGTCTGACAAGTCAAAAATTGAGAATTTAACAGTACTCTTCTGTTTTTTATTGTTATTTCGTGAAAAAAGACAACTGAATTTTGATTGAATAGATATCGGTAGGGTAGCACTCCTCATTGTTACCGTGGCTATGTTTTTTTTGCTAGGTTTAGTTTATGTCTACTTCCCACTGCGAAGACAATAAAGGACACCTGCCTCAAAGCTTTCTATAAATAAGACAGAATTAAGTCGAGAATTTCACCGCCCTCCTTGACTTTATCTACATTTTTTCTTAATTTTTTAAAGTCTTCGATTAACTCCTTTTCTATACAGTCGATTCCCGGTAACTCGAACCCTCGATAACTCGAACCTCCCGCTAACTCGAACTTTTTCCTGTTTCCCTTGAAAGTTCGAATTATCGAGAGTCGACTGTATTTATCACAGACTTTCTATATTGGAGCTGCACCCGAGAGTGGGCAGGACCACTCAACCATACATACCGCTGGGGTAGAAAACAAGTTCAAGGCCGGCTTAGTCAGCGTATCGTTACCGCGCGAATACCATGCAGGCTATTCAAATGTTACGCTCTCGATCAAGTCGTTATGTAGTGATTGAGACAATTTGATCAACGACCATGTAATCGATATTCAAATCTATCCGGCAAGAAATGGAAATAACAAATCATTCAGTTGTCCTATCACCTTTTTAAGATTAGACATTCTATGAAACACACCCAGCTACTAGGTCCATTCACGGTGAGAAGGCAAAAATCTGTAAACAACCATTACCCTTTCAGTTTTGGTTCTGGATAAACTAAAGTGTAAAAGTAAAATCTTTGAGAATTGTTATTCACTTGTTCAAAATAACGTACAAAAGATGATGATGACAAGTATATACTACTGATGACAATTATATACTACATTATAGACTGCAAGTATATACTACATTATAAACGTGATCTTGCCTCACTACTGAATTCTTCATCACTGAAGGGGGTCTGTTATGTAGGAAGAATCAAGAACAAAAAGCAAGGACCTACAGACTAAAAATCGTCTGTAAAATGCTTTTTAAGTAGCAAAAATAGCCGAGTTGAAAACTTAGAAACTTACTGAAAGCCACGTAGTTGCTTAGATATGACTTTTGTTTTATGCATGCCGACAAAACTAGATATGCTGCGAACCGCGCTACACTACATAAAAGAGTTCAGTACTTTACCGTATTGCTGTAATAGTTGATTGGAGCCCAAGATATGGTGCCATAACGGAAATGCGACCCTAAAGCTACTGAGAGCCACTGCAGAGCAACCAAAGAGAAAAGACATGCTGCAACCCAATGTGCCATGTTGCCTCTTAACTTTACCTTCTGTACGCTTTCTAGTACTTCAGCCTAAAGCCACTCGTTGCTCCTATTAGTAGAAAGTACTCGAGGGAGTGTCTACCCTTATTTGGATAATGTGATAATTTCTTGTCAATCAAACCTACTAAAATGGACGCCGTGACTGCTCGTCTGTAAAGAACATATATAGTAACTAGAGACTCTTTTCTCTGAGGGATTCGAAATTGTTTCGTACCTATGTGCAAAACTGAGCAAGACACCGGCCCAGCAAAAAAACTGACCGTAAGTGAAGCATAATCACATTCAAATACCGCGGGAAATTTGGTGCTTTTCTAGGGAGACTGTCATATTGTTATCTCCACTAGTTACTGTCACATTAGTTATGACCAGATCTGGTATAAAAATATAGCAATAAAAACATAAAGCATAAGCAAAACTTGTCAGTTTGATTTATGCAAAAGAGGTGCAGAGACCAGTTCATTGCCTTTCATTCCAGCTAGATATGAAGCAAAAAGAAGTAGGAGAAGGGAAATAAGAAAATTGTAATACCCCATTTTGTCGAAGCTCAATGCTTCCGTCTCTAGCTCTCGCCCACATGTAGCGAACAGTCTGTGAGCCGCATAAGGGCTTGGCTTTGTTTTTCTGACCTAAATGTCACTCAAAATCGTCGAATATAATTAACCGATGCGTCTGTAGAAAGGATTTGTAAATAACATGTTTGTAATACTTCTTCCGGAAGATCTATCCCTAATTAAGACAAGCCAAAGTTAAAAACACCGTGATGTGTTTTTTATGGTTACATTCAGTTTATCTATATCTTCACTGAAATGTTTTTGTTCCATTTTAATAGCGGGGTTGTCCACACCCCTTCCACGACCACTGTGACATTCTATTGCAGTTGTGTCAAACCATGGATACTTGACCTGAAACATCGGTTTTGAGACTGTTGTGGTGTATTTTTTAAGACTGAAAGACGGCGTTTTTATGCAGTACATAGTTAATTGTGATGTTTTCGTTCGAGATTCTAAAAAAAAAACCTTCCGTGTCAATTTCCTCAATAGTGGCTAATAGGCTGATAGAAATCTTTTTATAGTAATACATTATGCATCACCAGACTGCCGGCAAGAACGTGCACAAAGACCGTTGTCTCGTTTAATTGACCAAATTACATTGTGCTCTGTGGGCTGTGAGGTGTGAATAACATCATGAAATTTATCAATCCACTCCGATCACTTATTTATAATAACCATAACACCAAGAAGGCAAGGTTTTGCACAAACGTTTCAGCTTCGTAAGTATTATTTTGGCGTAAAAAGACAAGAAATTCCATGCAAGCATCGTGACCATTTGTAATTAATTGAATGCGTTTCTGTGGCTTCTAGAAGTAATTACCAGCTTAACAAACACAACATGAAATTGCCTCTGGCTGTTTAGTTTAATAGAAACGAAAGCGGAAGAAGCTGAGGCCAATACTGGTTACATCATTAGTAACCATGGAGACAAATATGCAACCGTTTACTAAAAAAAAAAGTGAAAAGAGAGCAAGAGAAACAAAAGACACACCCAACAACTCACACAACTGTGCCTGAGTGACGAAGACTGAAGAATTAGTCTAAACTGGAAATATCCCTTCAGCAATGGCAGCAGTTGCTAGTCTGAATCGAAGGTTTGCGTGGTTCGTTCACATTTTTCAGGGAACAAACTATTAAGTCATTGCTCTTCCTTGTGAATCCTTTACCATGAATTGTTTTGACAACAAACAAACCTATAAGTAAATGAAGTGCCGATAGATAAATAAAAAGTTTTGTAAGGGCAATTAAGGTTCAAAACCTATAAAACGACAGAGGCCGAGATGCTACCTACACTGTACCTATACCGTAGGGATTTTGAATTGGCAGTTTGTAGTTAATTTTAGACTCTTCTTCTGCTTCTTATTTCATCCCCTGGAAACCTTGCCTTACTTGTTTGCAGACTTCGCTTTTTGTCACGCTTTACATGGCTTAAATGTACTGACGACACCTCATATTGGATACTTGCAGTAGCACATGCAATAGACTCCATTCATAGTAGAGCGGTTAACCTCCTGTCTTCAAAAGTCGAAGTTACGTTACATTAGATTAGAGGAGAAACGCATTTCCCTAAATAAGACAAGAAACTGGGACGTTTCAACTCTTTATACAAGCCTACCACATGATGACTCCATGAACTATGGAAAAGAGTCTTCAAAACCAAGAGGATAGAGCTTCATTGGCACCAACAATTTTCACACTTTTCTAAACAAATGACAAGACGTCTACGGGACAATCCCGAAAGGTAATATGACAGGGATATGATCAATACACTGTTCCTGACACTGTAGCTGTCAGATCTACTTTACGTCCATGGCCTCTCGTGCCATTTTTTTCCCAATTTCTTTGAAGAACACTGAACTCAAAACCACCCACAATACCTTTTGTTGCGTGCACTTTTTCCGACAACCTCTCTCGAATAGCGTTATACCTGGGGCGTGTTAGTGAACGTCGAACGCACACCATGTAAATCGCTAGTTAAAGTTTAAAGTTAATCGCCGGTTTCAGCTGCAAGAACAGCAATACTTTTAACATTATATTCAATATATTTTGTCATTATGTGAGTGTGAGCATTCATGGTAGTATTCCCGCACATACCAACGGGTACGGTCACAAAATTTGTTTCCCCCTGTGTAGAGATCTTGAGTGAAGTAGTCCTAAACAAACCTTCTTGGGGTATCACACTGAGTACGAAAAACTGTAGATCAGTGATAAAACAAAATAACATTTTATTGGCTTTTCAAGGCTCTGATCAGCTACTGGAATCGTACTACTACTGCTGGTTAGTCGGAGCAATGAAATTAACACCAATGATCAACCAGGGTGAGTATTGATAAATACAGCCGACCAGTTAAAAACTATTTTACTGCACTTGATTAGAGATAGTTCACACGTGGTTAATAAAAGTTAATGGAAACGATTTGATGTTTTAAAGTAATAAAAATGTTTTTAAGAGTGCCCCACAAGCCTATGCAAAAAGAAAATAGAAAATACTGAATACTTTACACTGAAAGTTTCCACACTAGTGCCTAGGCTTATTTCACCTTAAGCTATACTGGATGAACAGGCAGCATGCACTGTGGCCAAAAACGCATTCGTATGGTGTCGTGGCTGTAACTGCCGGGTTCTGTCATGCTAAATGATTTTATCTGCTAGGGGGTTGATACTTTTCGCATTCTACTGCGTTATTGCTGAAGCTGCAAAAATTAATATTACCCATAAGTAGCCAGCCACAAAACCTGGCAGTCAGTGGTTCCGTTGATTTTTTAAAGAGCGTCATAAAACACTTATTTAAATAGATATTAGTAAAAAAATAAAATAGAAATGAATAAATGGTGCCTCTCTAAGAACTTTGACTTCACCTGCAAGGTGAGAAAAACTTCCCCAACTTTTCAAGGCGCTTAACGAGTTCTGCTTCCGTATTCAGCCGCGTCTTAACCTTATCCTAGCATCTACTACACCATAAATATGAAATCAGTGAACACAGTGAAGCCTCCACCGTTTCCACAGGAGTTCTAGAGCTTTGGTACGGAGAGCCATTTATCAAGGAAAATTCTCTTGGTTGGAGTAATAGAAAACGGCTTGGGAACTCTAAGCTCTACTCCCTTTGTTGATCGTATTCTGAAGGAAGTTCATTCGTTTAATATGTGCTTCCGTTTTTCTGAAAACAAGCAGGAATCAGTTAATCGACTATTAAATCACTTATTACGTGCTCAACTAATCTCGCACCCATATCTCTTGATCTCCAGTCGACAAGGGTGTGGCTGCCCTCGAACTTCGTACTTGTCATTTGCAAAAAGAAAAATAGGAAACACTTTAATCGTCAGATAACAACTTAGTCTGCCTTACACGATACAGATGAGTGAAAGATTACACCGGTTGAAAACCCTGAATCACACTTGTCATTAAAGGAACATGGCAAGCAGTTCGCCTCCAAACGGTCCCTAAGCAAATTGGTAACATCTGCTGACCATAAATATTGATAATTTTTTACTACAAGCACTCCTGTAGCAACAAAGGGAACTGGATACGAGATAAGTGTGCAACGTAAGGATTCATTTTAGAAGGAGTCTTCCCTTTCGATCATATCGTCCTCTTGGATGTAGGCATTTCTTCGACTCATCTGTTCATCTTGGGTAGTGTACAAGTCTCCGACCTTGTTCCTGTTCATGAATCTTCGTGCAATGCGGTACTTAACGGCTAAAACAGCCAAGGCTATGATAACAATTAGGGACAGTCCTCCCGCGGCCGCTGCACCACCAATCAAAGCAGTTTGTTGGCTTTTTCCAGTATCTACCACAAAGGAAAAAGAAACTTCGATTAGTAGATAAGTCTAAAACCAATATGAAAGAGAAGGAAAAACTATAAAGAGTTTTTAATCAGGTGGCCAGCAGCCATGCACACACCCACCTACCCCTCCCCTTAACAAACATTAACACTTAATTCTCACTTAAGGCAAAATGTTGGTTTAGGGGAGTGGTAGGTGGGCAGATTCTCAGAAACGTATACTGATCCCAAATTTTCTGTGATAAAACAGACAAGTAACGAAAACAGCCGCCTCTCCTCGCTCCCCGCCGCTAAGGTCGTTTCGACAGAAGGGACGTCTGCGCCTCAGCGACAAAAATTCTATACTGATGATGTAAATAAGTGTTGACATAGCAAATCTCGTAGTCATGGGGTTCCCAATGTAAATTTGTTCGATCTTTTTTTTTCTCCAGGTCAATTATGGTTAAGTTTTGTGTTCTTCTGAGAACGAGCTCCGGCAAATCTAAAATGCTTCTTCTAAATATATATTCCAGGAATAATGACCGTTTATTTTCTCTGTGTGCTTAGCTTTTATTAATCTTCGCGGCCTATAGTTTCTCTTCATAAAAGAGAAACGTAAAAAGTAACCGGCCTACCTCCACTTGGCACTTGGCCAACAGAATTCCATAAACAAGCAACTTCCATATCCTGGTGTTATGGCGTTTTTACCGATAAGTTTTTTTTAGAACGATTTTGGTGCGAATTTAGAATATCTTTTAAGTCGCTCTGGGTTATGGGCTCCTGCCAATTTACAGGTTTTGCGCTTAGCATCATAGCCTTTGAGTAAACGTGAGGTTGACCTTAACTTGTTTTGATACAAAAAAGGCACTCGTGACTGTCACCTCCAGCCTTGTTTCCACCTGTAACTATAAAGTTGGCTTGTGGGAAACTTGGAATTTGGAATTTGTGGGCAACCCTCCCTCCTTTCACTTAAAACTACTGTCGGCATATTTAGTTGTCCATACGTCATACCTCCTTCATCACGTTCTTCCGTCTCAGTCTCCGTTTCCTTGATCATTATTGGGCCGCTGGAGAGAATATGTGTGCTTGTACTTTCTTCATGTTCTATGTCTTCCTCAACTGTGCCTCGTCTCTTTCTTCTTTTGCTGCTTAAACAACCCCTGCTGCATCTATAAACAAAATCTTCGGTTTATAAATCATCGAATTTTTTTTTCAGCTTCAGTCATATCGACGCCACTTGTACACCTTCCATAATACATCTTGTAATGCCCCTCAAAATTTTGCTACCGTCAAACTATCCGTCCTTTAGAGAGTGAAGTTACCATTTACATGAGACAACCGGAAATCCCGGTTGGAAAATCAAATGGTTCGCGCCATTACGTTTGGGAACCTTCCGAAAATATGGGCTGTGATTTGAGGCGATGCCAATTTTTCTACTCTTTTAAGTCTGTGCAGTCGATTTTGATTTACTTTGTAGCGGGTCGTTCTCCCATCACGTCAAGTTCTTCAGTTTTATGTTAATGCACAAGATTTCCACCCGGGTGGTTTGTGTAAATGGTAAGCACAGAACATTGCAATAAAAAACGGGAATGGAATTACAGTAGAGTTTTATTCGGTTTTCCGCGGTTTAGAACTGCCTCTTCTTCGGTGTAACATGGAGGGTTTACAATAGACTTACCTGGAATTAGAACTGCCTCTGTAACAAGCCAACAACTCGCAGTGAAAGTAAACAACGTCATAATCGTTGAAGAACCTGAACGATCTAATTTTAAGTTGCTGGGAGCTCGCTAATGGATTATACGTGTATTCCATAGTTGTATCTTGCTCGCAACTAGTGTAAAATGTAAATAAAAAATAAATTAACATATTTTAGTTTTAATGCTATGGATTTTTCTGGGCGTTCATCCGCTCAAACCTATCCCCCCATCAAGAGTATAAACTCTACTCAAGGATGAGGATTAACTCCGTCGCAAAGGCTAGTCTAGTTCAGCGCTGAAGTATAATTTTTGTTACCATAGCAGTTGCGAATGATGATATCAAACTTCTGAGCCCTGTAAAGGATTAAGGAGGCTCGATTTCCAGTCGCTGTTCAGGAAGTTGCGGCCCGCAATCATGGAGGATCAAATACCCGGAAAAAGCGACGTAAAGCATGCTTAAGGATCAACACGAAGTCGATACGTGCAAATATGCCACCTATTTAGATTCCTAAGCGCCTTACATACTTATTTTGTATTATTTATTTCCTTAGATTCCCGTTATTTCTGACCCTACCTGTAATTCAGTTCTCACTGCAAAAGGTAGCAATAAACCAATTTATTTATTTATTTATTTATTTATTTATAGGGAAATAGACTACAGGTATTTCCTCAGTGATGATAAGAGCGAGCGAAATATGCGAGAGGGCGTGAAAATCACCAACCGCAAGGCAGGTGCAACGCGTCTCGCTTCTCCCGCGCGTGGCAATTTCACAAGCACTCACGTATTTCGCTCGCTCAACTTCCCCTGTGGAAAATGAGGGAATACCTGAAACCTAAATCCTAGACATATGTTACACTCACCCATTCTGTATAATGTTATAATAAGGCCAGGAGTAGAAACTTCCATATTTTGTGGCTTTGCAGTTTTCGGCCATGATCACCAGGTTGGCGCTGGACTCAACACTATACTTCACGTAAAGATACTCATTTAACGCGACCAATATAGGGTAGTCCTTCTCCGCATAGGGAGTGGCAAATGCTGCAGTCTTGTAAAAGTCCATTTTGAAAGTGAAATTCCCATATCCAGCTAAGAAGGAAGCAAAATATCATTAAAATAGGCTTCTTTTTGGTATGGAAATACAGTAGTAGAACCCCGATAACTCGAACTCGCGGATAACTCGAAAGTCCTTTGGATTTCACCCCACTTTTCAGTCATTTTTACTTGGTTAACTTTAACTCGAATTCTCTGCTAACTCAAACTAAATTTCCTTTCCCTTGATCAAAAAGTCACTGAAAATTACCCGATAACTCGTATCCTGGTTCTTGACTCCAGACTCGGATGTCATTCTATTAGCTCTTCTTGATGTGTAATCAGTGAAAACATTTAATCTAACATACACTGGTTAACAGTTACAGAAATCTTGTTTTAGTGGTGTAACGAACAGATCACGTTTCAGCTGAGGTCTAAATCATGTTACCGTTTCAGATAAAACAAGTTAAACTTGCACTGCAGGGGCATTATATATACACAGCAGTGCTGAAAGTGATCAGTAACTATCAATTTTTAACAATAAAAATTTAATTTTGCAATCAACCCCGACAACTCGAACCCTCGCTAACTCGAACTGTTTTTCGTTTGCCTTCAGAGTTCGAGTTACCGGATTTCTACTGTAGAATGAACTCTGTCAAAAATCCTTTGCACATTTACAGTTTTCTTGAGCATGTAGCTCAATGCAGACCTGTTCTCTTGTTGTTTAAAGGCGCAGTCGAATATTTTCAACTTTGTGATGGGAAAGACGAAGGTTTTGTCTCAGGTAAGTCTAATAACTTTAAGGTAGCCTGACATTTCAGTGCCACATTAGATTTACGTTACCTTTTAAAAGGAGATTGAGCAGACTGAAAGACGTCGACCGACTCGTGATACATTATTCTAAAGCAAAACATCTAACTATACTTGAAACGCAGACCGTATAACGATAATGGGCATTTGGGTACGCTAGTGCCAAATGGAGGGAAAAAGTTAAGTCTAAAATTTCCAATTTAAATGTTTTCTTTTTGATGAAAAAAAAAAAAAAAAAAAGAAGGCATAAATTAGAGTACCTTCTGATCCAATGAAGATTTGTTGGGGCTGGAATTGAATGCTTAGCATCTTCCTTCTGGAGTAGCTGCAGTAAAATTTAAATGTTATATCGTGTGTCCGGGTGATAACATTGTCAATAATCACTGCATCTGCTCGGATTTCGTTCCAAAATATTAATGCATCCTCCGTTTCATTCACCAGTGTTCCGCAGGAATTTAAAGGGGTACTGATTAAAAAGTGTGTGGAATTCTCGGTAGCTCTATGGACAACAAGTAAAGACAACATAATTAAAGGATAAACATAGAATTGGATAAAGCTTAATTTTCAACTGCAAAATAATGGATGGGTATTTTAATTAATTTAATTTAATTTTCTGTATTTGCGGTTTAATTAAAGTTAAACCGCAAATACAGAAGTAGGCAGGGGCGTAGCGTCCATATACGCACATACAACCGTGCGTTAACAGCTGAAATCTGGAAAATATATCCTGAAAGCATTTATCGGGATGACTGATAAATCTGTCGGGTAGACATCTCTCTCTTTGCGCGCGTGCAACCTCCTTGATCGCGTCACTGTTTTACCTTTTTTCCGTAAACATTGCTCAGCACCTTGCCGATAACAACAGATGTAAATTTAACAACTAATTATTGCATTCTCCTTCGTATTTGTTCACTGAAAATGTCTTGCGAAAACGCAGAAATGGCTTTTCTAAGCTCCTAAGTTTTAAAAACGTCCTGGGGGAACATGCCCCTAGATCCCCAGACCCTCCCCTCTAGTTTAAGTACCTTTCAGTACCTCACGCTATGCCCCCGGAAGGGACGTATGTACAATCTTGAAGAAGATAAAAACGGATTGAAAAACTTTGGCCTAACACTTTTTAGTTCTTTGTTGTTTGTAACGTTCGACGGCTCAGAAAGCAGGGGCATCTATAGTGTCCATATACGCACATACGCCTGTGCTTACAACTGAAACCTAGAAAAACATTTGTAAGCAAAAAAAGAAACATTATTTTGTAATCATTTAATCGGGATGGCTGCGGCTAATTTTCCCATTATATTGGTGTCTTTGTGTAAGTATTTCCTATATCCTTTTTTTTATTCCATGTTGAAAATGTCCTGTGGAAAAGGCAGGAATTGGCATTTCCGAGATCCTAAATTTAAAAATTTTCTGGGAGAGCAGTCTAAAAACTTTTCTTTTGTGCGTGCAACTTCAAAATCTTACTCTACGCCCCTGGACCTGGAAGTATATTTGTTGGACAAGAAACTGTGCTTTTTTCATTTACAATTTATTCGTTTACGTTAAAAAGGGTTCCATAGCAAAGAAGTGAGGCGTAATTAAGAATGTCAACAAATTTGCACCAGGCAACCGTGAAACTGAGCCTCGTTAAAATATTAGAGATCCTGGGCCCAGGGACCTGGTATCATAGTTACGAGTTCAAGCATTCTCTATAGTTGGCGTCAACATGAAGATGGTAGCAAGTTTAAATGAATTAAATAAATGAAATGTCGTGGATGAGACGGGATAACAGACATACTCTCTTTACATTATCTTAAAATATTAACATTCTATATGATGTTAACAGTAGGCTCGAACGTCAACATACACTGGCAGCCGTTATCAGTCCAGTTATGAGCTCACTGAAACCCACCCAGCCCATGATATGAAGGTAGACCACACCACCGGGAAAACTTCCCTACTCTTTCGAACAGTGTGGATTCTTTTACGTCTCCTTCGATTTGACCAATGAAGGAAAGATAAAGGAGACAAGGCCGACGGCTTAAAGTCACCGCCAAATGATGCGAACATCTGAAGAGAGACAAGATTCTCAGTATCCACAGCCATGCATGATCTAAACAGTTTTTTTAAAAGACCCTGGTTTTTGGTCAAACGAACCCACGACCACCCGCTCGGCAAACCAGCGCTCTCCCAACTGAGCTAACCAGACCGCAGTTAATTCAGTGCTGAGCTCTTGTATTCAGTACTAAAAATATAGAGTACCTGCATGAAGAGTAACGCAAATGTAAACTGCTGACGTTGAAAAATGGAAATGTTTGCTTCTCCAGCGAAACAGTCATGTTGTTCTCGTCACATACAACTGAAACGCCGGGTTCTGAAATAAGCGAAGCATCAATAATCAGTTTTGCAGAAAATATCTTATCAAATAACTTTAATTTGCACTTTATCCTTGGCTTCGATCGGAATTTATTTTGCAAGTCATGAAAAGAAACCACACTTACCAACACAAGTCAAATTATTGCTGGCCATTGTTGTACCTTCCGGGCATCCACAATAAAATGATCCAGGAATATTGTAGCAATGATGGCTACAGCCACCATTGTTGGTTGAACATTCGTCAATATCTATGAAAAGTATGTAAATGTGAAGCTAATTAAAGCTCATCAACTAAAAAGCAATAAATGCTAAATAGAGTGGTTTAGGTACCATGCAGCGAAAAATGTACGAGAAGAACAAAGAACTGAGTCGTTTTTTCGTGTAAAAGTATTTCGTGAATTGAAGTCGTGTAACCAACTTTTTGTTTGTCATTTAATATTTTCCTTTAAAATCTTAGTTGGCACATTCAAATCGTAGGTAGTACTGACTGCTAGTTTCTACTGGAACAATTAGCCTACTCGTTCTCGTTTTCTTAGTAAGGACTTTAAGATCCAACGACGCGACGGCGACCAGAGCGTCGCTTAAAAAGCGAATTTGCATTCTTTCAGTCTTTTTAGCGATTATTCCTACCCACTTAATTACTTTGTCAATTGTAGGCGAACCCTCCAAAAACTGAATTTCAAGGGACCGTATTCAAGCTCAGAAAGAGAAATAAAATTTCGTCGTTGCTTGTTTACGTCCTCCATAAAACGCGAAATTCGGCATTTTCACGTCGTAATCGTGCAAAAACGGGAAAGAAATGTACAAAAAAGTGTGATGCACCTGCGAAGTCGTTGTTTTGCTTATTAAACCAATTGCTGTTTTGGCGTTCTTGTTGTCTTCCGCGTCGTTGGATCTAAAAGTATCTAATCTCATATAGTAAACTCGATGCTTCGCGTCTCGTTGACTAATTGGACAGCTGAAAACGTTTTTGAACGACGCACGTTGGTCTGAAATCGGGTGTGGTTTTTGAAAGAACTACGAGAGTACAGTGTGTGAACGTATTTATCGTTTCAATTACAAATGAGTAAGAAAGAAAGAGAAATACGCGAATTCGAAATGGATTTGAAGAATTTTTTGTTTGCGCTCTAATCTAAGTAATGATAACATGACTTCTGCCTAAAGGCCAGGTCTGATAACGAGTATGGATTTTAGAGGTCTGGTCTGAAAACGGGTGTGGAAAATTACATTATGGTCTGAAATAGGGTCAGGATTTGGAGAAACGGGTGGCACAGCCCCACCAAGAATTCCCAGGAATAACCCCGCCCCCCCCCCCCCCCCCTCCGCCACATCAAAACACTTTATACCTTTCTTGCGCAAAAGTCACACCACACAACTCTTCCACATTTTTTGCCAAAATCATTTGTTAACGCCTTTGTCACTTTTTATCATGTATCACTCCTTCATATGATTATATTCCCATCTCCAAACAAGAGCTGAGCTACCCACTGAACACCCACACACGTCTACTGGGTTCATTGAGTACTTCGGATGATCTAAGCTGACTTCCATTCTAACTTGGGACCTCACCTAAACAGGATTTTCCATCAGAGGACAGTCGATAACCACTGACACAAGAACAGCTATAGCTGCCTTGAGTGTTGGTGCAGATTTGATCACAATCCGCTGGCACATGAAACTGGAAGTCCAAAGGAGGTGGAAGCGCATACGAACTGGATGGTACATAATATTCAGACGATGAAGAAGGAGCAATTTGACCAGCTGTGCAAAAACGAATTGGCAAATATTAGTTTAATTTCTTTAAGAAGTGTTTGACCCTTGGAAAAAGTCTGAAAAGTGGGGAAAGGAGAAAAATACACCAGGTATGAATTTTGTAGCCTAATTTTCCCCTTCCCATTCACTAGTAGAAATATTTAATCCTCATACGCACGATATCGATTTATTCCCAGACAGTACAAAACAACCAAGTAGAGATACGTGGTGGAATACGTACAGAACGTAAAGAAATAAATATGGACTTAAAACTTAGGTAACACAACACTTCTTTTCTTCATTTTTCGACCATCTCTCGTGATGTTGTGTAAAGCGTCTGTTGACGTTGTTTCCGTGAAAACCCATCCTGGGCGGCTTAATTTTGCACATGTTGCTTGGAATGGAAAGAACGAAAGTTTAACATTACTGTGTAAACGGTTGCAGAATGTTCAGTATTCACCACCAATCTGAATAAAAAATCCTCCTCTCTTGTATCTGTCATATGAATGTAGTCAAACGTTTTCCATATTGTACGGATTAATTATAAGTTAAGCATATAGAATTAACATCGTCAAACTACTTACCGCTACCACTTGGGGCGGAGCTAGAAACTGTCCCTGCTGAGATATCTGCCACAAGTGCAAAATGAAATGTGTTTATTACAATTCTAATTAAAACTGAATGCAGGAAAAATCAAAAAGGAAGTTTTCTGTTTCCTGATGTTGGTGAAATAGTTGTAGGTATTGAAGATGTATTAGCTATAAAGTAAAAGGTAAATTAATGCACAGAGTTAAATAAAAGTATTTATGAAAAGAAACAAACTAGTAGGTAGCTAAGGTAGGTAGTTTTTGGTCCAGTGTTTTGCACTCTTACTAGCTATAGGCCTTAATATTACCTTGCTTTTGCGCATACTGAATAACGCATATGAAGCCACACTAGTGTATTCGTCAATATATGCATAGATTGTTTAGGTTGTACTCACTTGAACAAATCACCGATGCATCTTCATAGTGACCGCAGTTTTCTACACCCCATCCATTGTGCCCACAATCTACAATAGAACTTTCATTTCCCGAGCAGAATACATCGTCCAACCAAATTGGACCACTTCCTTGACCGAAGCGTGCACTGTGTGGAGCACTAACTGCGTCTGGATATCCAAGTTCACGGCAAACAACTCTCGCGTCGCTTATATCCCAGTAGTCATCACAAACAGTTCCCCAGTAACCATTGTACAAAATTTCTACTCTCCCTTCTCCTTTCCAGTATCCTCCAACTAACCTCAAACCTAAAATGAAGAGGCAATATCAAATATAATAAAAATCCTTTACACAGTTTAAATAATCGCACATTCTTTCCGTATCACTTCCAATATTCAGTAAAAAAAAAAATGATAATAATCAATCATATATCAGTTAGGCTACGAGCCAGGGGGAGTGGGGGGGAGGTACTCCCTATGATGGCCTGTACGGGGAGACTCCGCCCGAGAGGGATATCTTAATTTTTCCGGCCTCCGGTATATGAAATAATAGGGATTTTACTCGTAGAATTATATTATAAAAGGGTAGGGAAATCTGTCGCTTGGGTCTGTGAAAGAGCCCAAAAGGGCTAACAGATGGATTTTATGGCTTTATAAAGTCGAGAAAACGTTCAATTTTTGTGACTGATTCCTTTTTAAAAGAACAGGGCGTTTACAGCAGTTAAAAGGGATGCAAAGTTCTAAACAAAGTATGTCAAATGGGTACCATTTGTCAATAGAAGGTTTATGAAAGAGGTACTTTTTTGGGAAAGACGGTATTTAAAAGGTTAAGGGGTTGGACCTCGGAGCGGAGCCTCCCCGTGTAAACATTTGTTGAGTATCCCCCCCAACCCCTGGAGTAGAAGCCAACTGCCATACTACCTTCCATTCGGCTATAAAAAGTTTTGAACACAGGCAAAAAACCCTTTGTTTACACACCTTAAGTTCACAACTACGTCGCTTAATTTGTTTGTGACAAAGATACAACGTAAGATTTGTACTCTTTATTAGTTTATTGGCTTATCTATTTCTCTCTCAGAATTATGAATCATATAATTATATTAATAACAGTAACAGTAACGAGGTGTAACAAGGTGTAATATTGAAGCCACCTAATTTTCTTACCAAAGGAAGAGACTGAGGAAGAAGCTACAACTGTTGGAGATATTGCTGCAAGTTAAAGAGAAACAGTCAAATAGGTGAACAAGAAAGTTGTATCTACTTTGGTCTTAAAATAAGTAACTTTCAATATGTGGAATCATACCCTACTGACTGATTCGTTACTCTAAACTTGGGTCATGTTTCCATATTAAACAGTGAATATTAAATACCTGGGGTCGGTGATATCCTGTCAAGACTTGAATTAGTTGAATTATAAGCTGTCAAAGCAATTTAACAGAGATCCTCGGTTAGAAAAAAAAAATGGTTGTTATACTTTTCTAACCTGCATGACAGACGCAAAAATGGGGTAGGGAAGGGAGGGAAAAGGGAGAGGGGGTTGGGGAGAGAAGGAAAGGGACCCTTTGTTTTCGCCTGCCACACAGGCCCTACCTTTACGGTTTGTTGTAAAAGATGCAACATACCTCCTCCGTTTCCACAGTAACGTAACCAGCATGCTGGGGGTGGTCCAAGCTCATAGACGTAAAACCCGCTACAATTTCGAACACGTATATTCGTCGACCAGAGACAGCAACTACTGTCCCAGTGGAAGCACACTGTACCACTGAATATGCCATCATCCTTTGAAGGATGCGGGGTACTTAACCATCCCGGCGCGTGCGAACTGCAGCGATTTTTACCAACACAACTAGTAGCCATTTGAGATCCTGCTGACCCACTGAATCGATACCATCCAAATGGAAGGTTGCTATCGCATTGGTAATAGCCATAGTATCCGTTGTAGAAGCCTTGTGCTCTAACCGAGTCATTCAGGTAGCTGTAGCTGTAGCATTCTAGGGGTAATTGGAATGAGTAAAAACAAGATAAACTGAAGAGGAAAGAAATAACAATTATCGTCCTAGCGTTTCGTTTACCCTTTTTTAGTAGATTATACAGCACCATTAATAACAACTACAGTTTCCTATACACGTTCTGCAAGAAGTTATCGGCGCATCGTATTCTATCAGCTCCCTTTTTGAAAAGCTGGAAAGGTAATTGAGGTGTCGATGAAAAACAACCATTCGCTATTTTCACATAGACCATAAGGTACCTTGTTTACCGACCAAAATTTTGCATACAGTATGTTGCCCAGTATCGGGACACTTCAGTTTAACATTGCAATAACTTTCCTTTGTTGGTCGCAAGAGCTCTGAAATTTGGCCCAGAGAAAATCTATTTAGTCCTTAATATGACAAAAGACAGATTCACTTTTTTGCCTCTGGTGCCATCGCGAAATTAATATTTTTGCAGAGCTCCTCTGTTGCCCAGTATCCGGACAGCTGGCCCAGTATCCGGACACAACAATAACAACGTAATTGTACATAAATTTCGATAGGCAAGCGACTTATAAGCTTCTCTTGCACTTGCTAAGTAGTCTCGCAATCGATTCCAAAAATATAACTTGTAGCATCGTGAAATAAAACATAACAAATGACTAGGGTATTGTGGGGAACGCGAGCGGTTGTTTAATAGCATAATTTTTACTTCCTTGTCTAGGAACTTTTTCACTGATTTAAGGAAGGCATCCGTGGACATGCCGAAGCCGCGGTTTGCTAGCTCAATTACCCAATCTGC